AGAGAGAGAGAGAGAAGGGATCTCCTGTATTTTTAAGTTTTTTCGTGTAACCTTAGTTGTACATGGAACTCGGGACAACTCAGATCGCCCATAGGGTGAGGCTTAGTAACTTGGTTGAGTTCGAGTGGATATGGCTGGGTCACTTCACTCTGATTTAAAGCATAAGGTTGCAACCTTATGCGAACTTTTTTCGTATCTATGTCTATATCTGTGTCCATGTGCTTTTCGTTTGTGTCTGACTCTATGTATTGCTCTTTTGCAGGTGGTTGCTGTTCTTATTGGTGGAGCTTCTATTATGGCGGGCCACATTACTGTAGAGCAACTGACAAAGTTCATCTTGTACGCAGACTGGTTAATTTATTCAACTTGGTGGGTTGGAGACAATTGGTCAAATTTAATGCAGTCAGTGGGGGCTAGTGAAAAGGTTTTCCGCCTCATGGATCTACTTCCTAGCGAACAATTCTTATTGAATGGCAAGCACTTGTCCCTCGTAATGCATTAGTTATTATTGCATCCGCTGCTTGCACATGGAATTTCAATATTTAGAAAATAAGTTTTTCTTATCCAGACGGCTAACATAGCATGACCTATACATCATATGGGCACCTTGCAGATCACCGATTGAGACCCTAAGGCTATGAATTCTTATTACTTCTCATGTTGAAGTTTCATTCAAGAACTAGCATCTTTTTTGTATAGTGATGTTACTATGGCCCAACATACACCAAATGCTTCTAAATGTAATGTTCAGGTGTTAACATTTTACAAAACAGATGCCCATACCAGATACTTAAAAGGATATCTGGAATATAAAATGACTTGATGATGATGTAATATGAGAAATATAAATTTATTCACAAGTACATGATATATGTAGAACTAGAATATTCTGAAGCTAAAAATAAAAGGTGGCATATGTTGAAAAATGTGTATAACAATGTTGAAAAATGTGTATAACTGAATGCTTATGTGTGCGCATGTGCGTGTGTATGTGTGCACATGTGACATAGCTAAAATGTAATGTGACTATATAGTTAATTCAATAAAGAAATATGAGGTATTTTAATACCGCATACTATGCATATACTATACATGTGTCGATATTTTGAACAGGATACCTGTATCCATATTTGTTACCAAAGTTTGAGGAATTCTTGATTTCTATCCACGCTTCCTTGGTCTGTTCTCATACCTGTTTGTGTGCATCTCAGCTGTCATGCATATAATTATTTTACATTAAAACTCATGAAGAATACTTTATTGAATTCAATGGATCACCAAAATAAAGTTATTTTTTCATGTTACCGTTTTGCTAGTTGTATTTTATTAGATATATTGAATGCTTTGAGCTTGATGAACATATTATTGCCATTGTAGGATTGACCATGTTGGTGTTTGTCTTCATGAAACCACTAAATCTAATTATATGTGTAAATTTCATTAAGTCTAGATACTTGAACCAGCAATGAAATTGAAGGAGAAGTGCTATATGACTGTTATGAGACTAGTCATGTTTTATGGGACTGAATTTTGGACGGTTAAGAAACAACATATCCATAGAATGAGTGCAGCTGAGATAGTGATGTTAAGATGGACGATTGGCAAGACAAGGATACAATTCGGAATGAATACATTTGACTGAACTTAGGGGTAGCTCTAATGGGCGATAAAACGATGGAATATAGAATTTGGTGATCTGGTCATATGTAGTGTGGACTTAGTACAACAATGGTTGGGAGGGTTGATTTGGTTCAAGTGGAAGGCTCTAAAGGATAAGGAGGAGGCCCTAAAAGACATGGGTGGAAGTAGTGAGAAAATATATGGTGACTTATAGTTTGATTGTGGGTAATGACCCTTAATAGAACGGAATGGCGGAACAAGATTTTTGTAGTCAACCCCAAAGAAACAAACCCCGACTTGTTCATTCACTGTCAGATTGCCCTTCAACTTTGGAGTAGAATTATCCAACTTTTTGGAATATCATGGGTCACCCCCCCTTCAATTCCGGCGCTGACTTCCTGTTCCTTTGAATATAATTGGCTGAAGTCGAGCAGGATCATCTGGAAAGCCGCTCTAGCTGCTACGGTGTGAACCATCTGGCTAGAAAGAAATTTGAGAATTTTTTGTGGTATCAAAAGCGAACTCCTAGCTTTGTTCCACAAGGTTACTTCAATGGTAATCTTTTGGGCTTCCAACCACAATCTGTTCACTGGGATTTTGGCGGCTAGTTTTCTTCGCAACTGGGTGAACCTTATTCAAGTAACCGCTCACCGCAACCCAAGAGTATCGTACTGGACTCCCCCACCGGTAGGTGATATTAAGTTCAATTTTGATGGATGCTCCTTGGGAAATCCAGGCCTAGCAGGCGCGGGAGGAGTCTTCCGTAACCATAACGGTGAAGTCATCTCATCCTTCTTAGAACACCTTGGCCACAAAGACTCGTAGTTCGCAGAGGTCACGGCCCTTTTGATGGGAACCAAGAAATTTAACCCTTCTTGGGGACTATGCCTGCACATAGAGGGAGATGCCAAAAATGTAATACTCTGGGCCGCCAGAAAGGCCCCTCCTCCTTGGTACCTAGCACACAATTTTTATGAAATTGAGCATACTTGCAAGGGTATAAACATCTTATGGATGCATATTTGGAGGACGTCCAACAACTTCGCAGATCGTCTCGCCAAGGAAGCCGCTAGGAACCAGCCTTTTGCACATGTATATATGCGCACAACAGGGAGTTGTATATCACTAGCAAGGCGGGGAGGCCTCCCTTTTCTAGATTATAGTCTTCTTTCTTGTAACGTGCAGATTATATAAGCCCCTATCTTTTGCCTCACTGGTGATGTTAGAGCCAGTCTTCTAGAACAGGTCACTCCCTAGTGACCAATTTTTGGTTGAGAGACCCAGTTTGTGGCTCTGACTTTTATAAAAAATCTTACTATTATAATATTTACCGTTAACATTAAAAAAAGAAAAGAAAAGTTGGTATATATGACCATCTAAACTGCCTCACAAAGGATTATATTAAATAACTTCTTTAGACTTCTCCTAACATTGGGTATTTGCTTTATGTCATGATAGAGTCTTTTACTTGTCTGCAAATTTTAATGCCTTCACGTCTGATATACCTGTCTGCACAATTGGTGGTTGAAACGTGAGATGCATATTACCCAATTTGTTTCTTCTAGATAGCAAGAAGAGAATAGTTTTGTATTTTTGTTTAAGACTTATGTCTCTGAAGAATCCTTGCAAGGTATTTACTTGTATCGTGTATAGCTCTACTTTAGAAAAATATTTGAAGAATTGGCAGGTTTGTGCACTATTTTGATCCTTCCACCCAAAACATGGTTGGCCATATCCCTTGTTTGGACACTCAATTGTGTTGAGTGGATTACTAAAAGTATAAGTGGATGAGTTTTGCTCGGATTAAATTGTTGCTCTCTTGAAGGGGTTATGGTGCATCTAACTTGTTCCCTATTGGTTGTTTTTCAAATGTAATGACCATTTTGCATTATTTATACAAACTCACATGTATGAAAGAAACACAAATGTGTAATGACAGTCAGCCTTACCCTTAATTCCCAACTTTCTTCTTCTGAAAATAAAATCCATAGATGAATTATCTCAAGAAAGGGGCCACATTGCCCAAAATTGAAGGAAAGCCAGCAGGAATGGAGGTTAGTAAGGACAGTTGATCAGACTATTCCAGCCGTCTAAGTCTGCTGGGGGGATGAGAGATTCACAAAATCGCCTGAAGATAGAGAATCGCATTCCATGATAGGCAAAAAATCAGTGGTCTGTGGCAGGGTGTACTTCCCTAGCATGCAGCCAGTGAGAAGTTTGCAGTATGGTTCTCACCATATACTTTTGGGACTAATTGGGCCTCGCTACGGGCCCTATCTTGCTGGATGATCACAGCCTGTGCACAAGGTCCATGCATCTTTAGCCTGCATGGATCACCACTGCTCCATGGGGCCTTGTTGGGCCATGCAATGCCCTGTTGGCCTTAGGCAAAGCAGCTCACTTCCACCATGCTAGCCCCACCAGGCGGTCTCTTCGTTGGTGTACAAAGGCCCAATTAGCCCATGTGAGTCCAAACAGACGCTGCGACAAGCCTCACAAGGCCCCTCTGAGGCATTAATGGACCATGCAAAGTGGTGGGAAGGTGGCTTCCTACAATGGTTCGTATGCTTGAAACATTGGCATCCCGTTAGAGGTTGTTGAACTTCCTAAATGGCCACAAGTCTATATGGGACCTGCGGGTTGTTTATACATTTTCTCTTTTGGGTGAATCGGGTTGTTTATACTTTGCAACAAAGCTGCTTACACATTGTTTTTTATGAGGAGTTGGGACTAGATCACCGTGGCCAAAACCTTTTGTGTCCTGGCGCACTTGGATCGTCTTCTGGACGGTGCTGCTGGTCAGGTGCTGTTGAGGCGGTGGGCATTTGCGAGGCTGAAAGTTATGGCAATGGCTTTGCATGTGAGGGTGTGCCATGGGCTCGCTTGAATAGGTCACCACCACCATGTGGGGTCTATTTGGCCATGCTAGGCTTGTTGAGCCATGTGAGGCCATGCTAAAGGGTGCTTGAGTGTTCCCATGCAAGCCTTGTGTTGGGTTTTGTGGCCTTTAAAGGCCTAGAAAGCTTGTAAAAATGATGAATAGTGGAATATACGCTTTCGTGGGAGTGTGTGTTGACTAACCAAGGGTTGAGCGGTTTATGGCCCTGGTCATGTCCAAAACCCTTGGCCCTGGGCATGTGGCACAATCGAGAAGGGTTTAAAGTGGGTCATCCCTTATTGAGGTCGGAGCGATGCCCATGCATCATGTTTGTAGGTCAGGAGACCTGTGTGGTTTCCAGCGTGCGATCGCAGGCTTGTGAGAGCAAGGACCTAAATCCTCAACAAACTTTCGCACGGCATGTACACATGACAGCCGTATGGGGAAGCAACCTTTAGAGGGACATGTGTACATGCACTGAGAGCCCCTTTTTGCACTGTACTGACAAGTGCTAGACTTGCTTTTAAAGGGGGAACTAAAATCCCCATTCCAGGATAATCGTTTCACTATTTTATTATTCAACTTTAACAAGCCAATCATGAACCCATGCAGAAAAGACTGTGGGTCATAGGACTTTGTTGGGTAGGATAAGAGAACAGTTGTGGACTATGGTTTCTGAGGCGAGTGGAGTGCCCTTAATATCATTTATTTTGACCCATCGGTACCAGTTCACTTCTAGTATATTTAATTTTGATATTATAAATGTTTTTTTGATTTTTAAATATTTTTTTTGAATTGAAAGATATTATTTTTGCTGTAAATTTTCTTTTTAGGGTATTTCTGAAAATTTCAGAACTTTAAAAATTATACACATGGGACCAAGGATCCAGCCCCACATGTGGCACCCTGTGTAACCTGGGGACCACACCCTATTTTTGTATATCATATTTGGCATGGCCTATTTTTTTTGGTAAAGGGGGAGCACGCCACCTTTCTAGCTAAAAGGTCGCACGCCAAAAAATGTAACAAAATAGGGGCCATGCCCTAATTTTTAGGAAAGAAATTTTAAGAGGGGGGGCACGCTACTATTTATGGTAAAATAGTGGCATGCCACTTTTAAAGGAAATAGGGGGCAACCTATTTTACTAAAAAGTCTTTTTTAGGAAAAATGTGCCACGCCACTTTTTGTGGCACAATCCCCCATGCCTTATTTTTAGGAGAAAAGGGGCACGCCCCACTTTCTTAAAGATTTGTTTTGAAATTTTATATTTAAATAGGAAAACTAATGAGATTTGATTTCCTATATCTTAGGGGAAATCTAGATAATATTTATTTAGAAAATATTTAAGTTTGATTCAAATTTAAATAGATTAAATCTAGATAATTTTTATCTAGAAAATATTTTAAATTTGATTGCAAATTTCAATAGAAAAAGTTTAAAGTTGATTAGATTTATTTTTTAAATAGGAGAGGATTGGGTCAAAGTGTAAGGGGATAAGGTTCCTAATCTTTCCTAAACCATGATGTCTCGTCTTTGGGATCTCTTACCTTATAGATTTCTTATGGTAAATCCTATTCACACTAGGAGATAGGTTTTCTTCTAGATTTCTTTCTATTTAAAGACCTAGTTTGAGCCTTTTTGAGATCTAATCATTAGATCTTTTCTCTCTCTCCCAAAGATCTTTCTCTCTCTCTCCCTCACTCACCAAATTGAGAGATTCTCTCTTCTATCTCTCGTTTAACCTAAAGAGAGGCATGCCACTCTCTCCTTTTTAACCAAAAGAGAGGCATGCCACCTTTCCCTCTCTCCTCTATATTTTTGTCTGAGAAACCCTAGATAAAAGATTTTGCTGTATTTCTGAAGGAAAAAGAGAGGAGACCACCTTAGAGAGAGATCAACTCTCAAGATCAGCTCTATTTTGTTCCCATAGGGTTTGTATAAACCCTAGTTTATTTTTGAGCTCTCTAAAGTCCTAGAGGAAGAAGAATTGCCTACAAAGTTTCTTTATCTTAAAATTTCCAGTAACACTTTAAAGATCAAAAGTGCACCTTTTGTCAGGGAATCGGGTGTGGGGTTTACCAAGCCCTGGTTGGGTAACTCTAGGTATCTTCCAGTAATTCTTTCCATTGGTTTTTATTTATTTTGAATTTTATTTTTTATTTTTTATAAATTTTCAGGAACTTATACTGTGTTAAAAATTATAATAAAAGTTAGTTTAAAAGTTCCTGGATAGTTTATATTTATCTTGGCAGTAAAAATAAAGATCCTAGGTTGTATCTAGAGCATTGTATTAATTTTCCAGCAACATATTGTGGCCCATGTAAGTGGAATTTAGGTATTTGTAATAAAAATAATTTTTTTTTTTTGAAATTTAGTACCTTGAGTTTCACATAGCCACACATTTCATTGATATCAGAGCTTCTATTTTTTCTATTGCTATAGTTTAGGAGTTTATTTTTATTTGGTTTAAGAAGCATGACTTCAAAAGGTTTCTTGGCTGAATTTATTAAGACTGAAAGATTTGAAATGGAGAATTGCTGACCCATATTAACCCCTATTGAAAAGAAGACCATGCTTAGCCTAGCCATGTTTTCCACTACTTTAGAAGAAAAGGAAGGCATGCAAAGAATTTCATACAGAAGTACAGTTGGGTCACTAATGTATGCTATGTCAGGAATAAGACCAGCTTTATCTTTTGCCATGAGTTTTGATTAGCAGGTTCAAGAGTAATCCAGGCATGGAGCACTGGAAAGCCATCAAAAGAGTACTACAATATTTGAAGGGAACCGTTAATTACACACTCACTTATGGAGGAGGCTCGGATATACAGATACAAGGATATTTTGATGCGGACTATCAAGCAATCCAGATGAGAGTAAGTCCACATCCAGATATATATCTCTCACAGGCCTACAACTGCACGGAGGAGACGACACAGCTCTCTTGGCCTACAAACATAATCTCTGGGCATCTCTCTGACCTCAACAAGGAATGACCCGCTTTAAATCCTTCTCAGTTGTGCCACATTCCCTGGGCGAAATGTTTTGGACATGACTAGGGCCATAAACTGCCCAACCCTTGGTTTAGTGGTTGGGGGGACATACAAGCAGCTCCCTCACAGGAACCGAGAGAGCCCTCTCTTCCAAAGATGCGACTTTCATGGGTTTGGAAGCCCTGCTATCTCAATTTTAGGAAGATGAAAATCCCATTTTGATACTTTGCTATAATACATCTGGTTGTCAAACCCTGAAGTGCTCTAGTAAACTGCAACTTTTGGCTTCATGAGAGAAAAAGTTCAATTTATCAAATCATTTATTGAACTCTCCCTAAGAGTTTTAGCAATCTTGCCACTAAAGACTCTCTGCACCAGGTAAGGCTTATGAAGATTTAAAAATTTACGAGTTAAATCAGAGGTCTAGCCAGATATTGAGTTTTCTAAGAAACACAAACATTGACCATGCGTGCCACTCTTGCTGTCATGGCTTGTATTCTTGTCTCATTAAGCAGTTGCCGGTGAAAGTTTCTTTTATTAAGTAACAACTTATGGAACTACGATCAACAATGCCAAATTCTTTTTTCAGGGCTGCAAGGCTCTGCATCCCTACTCCAACTCAGCGTGCTAATTTAGCTTTTACCAGAAATATATTTTCTGTGGGTTCAATTTGCATATATTTTCTTTGGCTAACTATGGAATTTTGCATTTCTTTTCCTGTATGTGTTCTAAATATTTTAATATTAATGTTGCTTCATGCTTTCATCCTTAGTAAGATGTACCCTTATTTTGTGTTGATTATTAGCACAATTGTGTGCAGGTTTGAAATTGCCTCAAGTTGTGGGTCATATTGAATTTGTGGATTTGTCATTTTGTTACCCTTCAAGGGAGAAGGTATACTGATTATCCTCTGGAAATGTTTGCATTATGTTTTCTTGATCATAATGTACTCTTCAACAGTTCTTTATGACTCATGGTTACACGAGATATCAATTTTTTTTGGTGACAAATTCGTTAAAGAACTTCTATGGATGAGATTTCTTTCCTCAAATTATTTTCGTGCGTTGCTTAGAGCAACATGAATGTTGAAAAGCTAGTTTAGGCACTTGAATTCAATATATTTTGTTTTAAATAATGTTGGTTTGCTAGAAGTTATCCTTTTGATTTTTGGGAAAAGTTTTTGCTCTATATGCTATGATGCTGTCATTTCTTTATTGTCCCTTTGTCCGTATGTTTTGTGACATAAATTTCCTTTCTCAATCACTGATTATAATTTGTCTTGAAGGAGGCTAAGAACTTGTGCACTTTGATTCTTGAGGATATATGGAAATTCAGAGTTGTGTAGTGTCTTATATATAAAATGATGTGATTCCAGGAAGGGAAAGGTTTATATAGAGCCAAGGCTCTAAACATTCAAATTTGAGCCTACCTAAAAAATTTCAGTAGAAGAGGTTGTTTTGATGCTCAAATATCTTCAAATTGATCATCTCGACATCAAGATGCATAGACACGAGAAAAAAATGGATTTCAAGTTTTGGAAATAGTGTATTTTGTAATGCATTTGTGGACCGTCAATTTTCAAGGTTTTCAAGTTTTCATAGATCTGTCGATCTACGCTATTTTTGAAGCTTTAAACTTTATAAATAAATATGAAAATATATTTTTAAGGCTATCATAAAGATTTCCAGTAGTGAAACCACATTTCTCGACACTATTTGAAGGAAGGCTCTAATTTGATTGTTTAGAGCTTAGGCTCTATACAAACCGCACCCTTCCAGGAAACCTATATTTTGAGAACTTGGAAATGTGTGAAAATCTTGATGTTGCTGAAGGCACCCAGAGAAATATGTATGGAAATTTCCTTTTTTAAGCAAGGGTAACGGTTTTATGAAATATGGAGAAAAGAAATACAGAAAGGAATCATACTAGAGTGAGGGTCCACAATGTGAATGTGGGAAACCTATATTTACTCATATAAAAAGCAAATCTACTCTCGCATTCGCCAACCAGTTAAATAAACTGTCGAATCACCAAAGAGATCTAGAATATCCATCATTATATAGAAACCCCGGCATGGTGCCAGTATGTCTTTCATAGTGCTTCTTCCTAAGACAATCCCACTTCATGAGCAATGTGGACCATGCCTGTTGCTGTGCCTACTGCATTATAGATCAAATCACATACCCTTATTCGGCTCGAGGTTGATGCTAATCTCTCCTGGTAATTCTGGTTAATTTGTCCAAGCAATAATGGGTTTGGACCATCTTTAAAGCATCCATCAGAATACTACTTTAAGAAACCTTGTGGAGGTCCCCCATCTGTCTGCTACCCTATCTTGGTTTGAGTGAGCATGATTGTGCAATGTTTCTTCACTCTAACCAAATCTACCAAATCCCTTGTACTTGGAGCAAACTAGAGCCTAAGAAATTGCTGTCATTGAAATACTCTCCCTCTGAATGAGACCTCGCACCTCTAATTGCGAGATTGTTCCTCTCCTTCCCATAAACCCCAAAACATTCTAATATGAAGAGCTTCCATAGAATTCTACCTCTGTCAGGGAATGAAGTGCTCTAGTCTTGAGTGAACATAGCCTTAATTGTGAGCGGATGAGATAGAAACGGTGATATCTGACTGGGCTGGACGGGGCAAGCCTGTCGAACTAGGAATCATTGAATCGGTGCCTTGTCTTGTTGCCATTCTAGACTGGCTGGTCCTTTGAACTAGTACTAGACTAATGCCTTGATCGGTCCAATGTTTGGATTGGGCGGTCCACTGATCCCAAAATCAAATTTGTCGTTCCCTACAAGGGGCAAAAAAGATATTATTTGCCCCCCGCCACCCCTCCTCCTCACCCCCAACAAAGGGGGGGGGAGGGGTTTAAGGAGGTGTTTTTTTGTCTCGGGTTTCTAAAGGGGCATATTGGGTCTAGAGGGAGATATAAAATACAGTTTTACAGAAAGGGATTTTTGCGAGCCTTCCTCTCCCCCTCTCACAACCAAAAGTTCCCTCTCTCTCTCGCTCGCTCTCAACTTTTGCCTATTTTGGCCAAATTTATGATTAGATTCCGGTCAACATTCAACATCCAAGTAAGATTAAAATAACCATAGGATATGAGCTATTTACCATCTTGCCTATTTACAACTATTCCAACTCAAGACCATGTGTTTATTTTGGAGTATTTTGAAATTAAATCAAAAGATATAGGTAAATTGTTAAATTTTTCATTTCATATGGGTAATTTGATAAATTGTCTTTAATTTTAAGATTTATTTGTTTTGGATTTAGAGAAGGCAAAATAAAAAATTTATGTTTTTTGGGTTTTGGAAAGGGCTCTTACAAAAAAAAAGAAAACTATCCTGAAGCTTTAAACAAGCTCCTACTATAATTTTTAGTACAATAAACATTCCTGAAAATTCATAAAAAACAAGAAATAGTATTGAGAATTAATTAAAAGTACTATGAAGACTTGCTGAAAGATGCTTGGAATTACTTTAATAGGTCTTGGTACACCCCACAGTCGATTCCTTGACCGATGGCACACTTTTACTCTTTTAGGTGTTGCTAAAAATTCTGAGATGGAAAGCTTTTGAGACGCTGCCTTTCAATATATGGTTTTAGAGAACTCAAAAAACTTAACTGGGGTTTATAAAAACCCTATAGGAACAAATTAGGGCTGAATTTGTGCGATGATCTCTCTAGGTTTGGCTTCTCCCTTCTTTTCTTCAAAATACAACGAATCTCAGTTAAGGTTTGAAAGTCCCACCTTTCCTTCTTTGATAGAAGTTACTCAAAAAATAGGATAGTGGGTGGCATGACTCTCTCTAAGGGAAAGGAGAGGGTCACGTGGTTTTCAATTTTATGAGAGAGAGAAAAAATATGGCGTGATAGAGAGAGAAAAGTGGCATGATGGAAAGAGAGAGGGCCTGGGGAGTGAGAGAGAGAATCTTGTTGTGTGTTTGAAAGAGGTTTAAATTAGAACTTCAAATAGAAAGAAGTCTATTCCCAATTTGAATAAGATTTCCTTAGGTATGCCTTATCTAATGTTAACAAGATATTTTAAGATAGTTTAGGAAATCTGTGGGGTGAGAGAGATTTAATCAGAGCCATCAATCCCACAAATCAGCCATCATGATTTTGGGTGGAAAGATAAGAACTTTATCCCCTTAGATTTTGGTCCATATCCAACTCTTATTTAAATTGAAAATATAACCAATCTTATCATTATCTAGATCTTCTATAATCTATAGAAACTCAAGGATAATCTATATTTTAAAATTCCCACTAGAATAGGAAACCAAATCTTATTAAAAAATTTCCTATCTTATTCAAAATCAAATATTAAGAAAGTTGGGTGTGCCCCCCATTCTCCTAAATATGTGGTGTGCCCACTTTTCCTTAAAAAAGTGGTCTACCCACTTATTTGTTAACAAAAATGATGTGCCTCTCTAAGGGGTAATGTGGGCCCTACATGGGTGCCACACACATGGGGGGGCGGGACCTTTGGTCCCTATATGTGCCTTATCAATTTCTGAAAATTTTAAAAATATCCTTTTAATGAAATTATAAAAATTAATGCAGAAATAATATTATAAAATTTTGAAAATATTTAAAAATCGTACAAACATATACTAGGAATTGACTGGTACCAATGGGTCAAAAATAGTAATAATAAGGGCTGTCCACTCAAGGGTAAGTGACAACTAGTGGAGAGACTAACTAGTGTACTAACAACTGGTGGAGAGATGAGTGAGTTTTCAGTGACAATAGGTCTACATCAAGGGTCAGCATTGAGCCTGTACCTCTTTGTCTTAGTTATAGATGACTTAACTAGGCACCTACAGGATGAGGTATCATGGTGCATGTTGTTCGCAGATGATATAATTTTGATTGATGAGACCCGAAACAACATGAACATAAAGTTAAAAATTTGAAGGGACGCTCTAGAATCCAAAGGTTTTAAAATTAGTTGTACTAAGACAGAGTATATGGAGTACAAGTTTAGTAATAATAGGAGTAGAGACGAGGAAGTAGTCAAGAATGATGGCCAAGAAGTACAAAACTGACCGCACTTTCGATTTCTTGGGTCGATAATCTAGGAAAATGGAGAGATCGAGGAAGATGTCGCACACAGAATTAGAGTTGGGTGGGCGAAGGGGAGATTTGCAAGTGGAATTTTATGTCATCAATGCATACCAATGAGGTTGAAGGGTAAGTTATATAGGACAACAGTGAGTCTAGCTTTGCTCTATGGGGAGGAATGTTGGGTGGACAAAAAACAATATACTCATAGAATGAGTGTAGTGGAAATGAGGATGTTGAGATGGATGAGTGGCAAAGTAAGAAAGGATAGAATTCGAAATGAATCTATTCGAGAGAATTTAAGCGTGGCACCAATAGGCGATAAAATGAGAGAGAGTAGACTTAGGTGGGTTAGCCATGTGTGGTGCCAACCATGTACAACACCTGTTAGGAAGTGCGAGTTAGTTCAAGTGGAAGGACTGAAAAGAGCAAGGGGTAGGCCCAAAAAGATGTGGTTGGAAGTAGTCCGAAAAGATATGGGGACTTATGGCCTTACTGAGGGTATGGCCTTTATTAGAGTAGAGTAGAGAACCATGATTCATGTGGTCGGCCCTATTTAATTGGGAAAAGTCTAAAATGATGATGATGAAGTGCAGTCCACTTGCCCCAGAAACCGTGATCCACTACTGTATTTTGTTCAACCAAGCAAAGACCCATGACCCACAGTCTCATTTCAGGGGCTCATGATTGACTTGTCAAAGTTGGACAATAAAACAATGGGACCATGATCCGTGAATGTGGATTCCAGTTCCCCTCTTTAAGAGCAAGTCTAGCACTTCTCACCATAGTGTAAAAGGGGCTCTCTCTATGCACAG